AATGAAGGTTGAGACGGTTCTCACCCCCCGGTAACAATGATGGTTGAGCCAGTTCCTAACCCTCGGCAAACAAAGTCTAGGACAACAAAGTCCTAGATGGCCGGCGTCTGGCCAACGTCCCATCTAGGCACATTTTTATTATATTAGCTGTTGTAGGTATAAAATCTGAGCAACCGGACATCAAAGACCTAAGTTATTGGGCATTATTTATCATACATTCATATCACCAATGAGTTTTATTGCTGAAGAAGGGAATACATATATTTTTCATCAGAATCTCCTTTATTTCTCTCTCTTGAAACACATTATCCTCTCCAGAAGTTTTCATCTACAACATTATTTTCTCAAGAAGCTTGCATATGATATTCTGTCAGCATTATTTCATCATTTTTAGATGGTCAGGACATCTTTATTCCTGCTGTTAAAATCTCCAAGCTGCTTGATTAAACATAGGCCCACCAACTTATTCTTACAATCAAATTATTGTTGCTTCAAAAACTTTGAAGGCTTTTCTCAATAAAAAGGTGACCAACAATGAACAGAGAGTTAAGATTATAGGCACATCTTTGAAGACAACAAAAAATTCAACACAATTGCAAATCAGAATAGAAGACTCTTTTGAAGCACTCAAACATCCCAGCCAGACAATTCATACTTGACGACAAATAAACAAGACTAGAAGGCCAACGTATTGCTGATCGGGTTCGACCTTAGTAACAGACTTCAACACTACAAACTACAGATAGTCGGGCCAAGTTGTCATATACCTTGACTCCGCAAGCTACCAAGCTTGAGGGCTTCTGTTCTGATCGACCCACTTCTATAGGCCTAATCAGTTGGGTCCAGTCTTAAAGTACATACCTATAACATTATAAAGCGCACCCATGATGAGCTATAGAGGCTCATTACTGAAAATTTACCATTATCCCACTCTGCTTCCCACTGTACACTGACAGTAGGGCAGCATGTCTTCTTACCTTGACAAGACAAGGCTAGGCAGCAGCGGAGGGATCCTCTCTCCGATGCTTGGAGACATACTTCCTCTCTAAATAGCCCATTCCCACAAGGAATGGGACATCTTTTTCTCTATTCTACTCTTATGCTGTTACTTTGCCTCTATACAGAGTCATTGTACCCGCTCACACACATTTGCCCGTTATGCACACTAAGAGAAGCCTTTACATTACTTTGGTCTCTAGCATTGTCACTACGAGCACCCTTAGATTAACATATTATACCCTCAAAGGGTATATTTATGAACTCTCTAGTTCAGTTACTAATGTTCGATCTTACTAATAAAATAAATATTTGTTTATTAGAGTAAATATCATTTTGAGTCTTCAATAAAAAACACGAAACCTATTTTAATCCCTTAGAAGAAAAAAAAGTCAATTTGTGATCCCTCTGAAATTTCAGTTCTTTGAAATTATGGTCCCTCAAGAATTCAAGGAATATCCATATTAATCCCTCAAAAAATATTAATATAAACAATTTTTTTTTTATAAAAAATTAAAATTGATTTCGTATTTTTTGTTAAGGACAAAAAAATAATATTTTCTCTTTTTATTATTAAGCTTTATAGTTCTTCAGCATTCAATTGTCTTTTGGATAATATCTTAGGAGTAATCCTTTAAATATCATCATAATTGATAACTAACTAAAAAACTTCTGACAATTAATTATTTTATCCAGCATTTAAATTCGATTCTCCTATGTACTAAAAAATAATAATTCGATTCTCCTTCGTTAACTGGACCCTACTCTCGGCAAAAAACAGTGTTTCGATTTAAATTCATCTATTGTTGTCTCACGAGATGTAACTTGTAACTATTTTTTAAAGACTTCTCACATTACATTGAAGACTTTTTTGTGATATTCTGGGAAATGAGGGAGACCTTATGATGATGCAAAGGATGGGCCATAGCATGATGTCCCATCAGTTATCAGGTAAACAAGGGTGTAGGGAAAGTATATTCATGGACCTCACAGATTATGTTTGCAGGTTGCAGCTGGGTTCCTTCCCGACATTATATCCGTTAGTGTGAGGTCCACGGCACAAACGTTAACGTTATATTATAATTATTATGTGCCTTTCCACTCATTTATCAATTACCATGGACCATCCTCTTTTCATTATTCACTGGAGCCCACTCTCAATTTCATCAACACGGAATACCATTTATTTCCTCTACCAGATAAGGTCAGGCTAAAAACCTATTTTTTTATATATTAAATAACAATATTTAAATATCCTTTTTTTCTGACATAATCTATTATAACTTGTTTTGTTCTTATCTCTATCCATTTTTTTTGTATATTTTCTATTTTTATAATCACCATCTAGAAATTTCTCCTCCCCTTCTCTCGTGGAAAAGGACACTGATCTTGGTTTAAACTTGTAAACAAAATAGAGTGAACAACGATTTTCAATATTTTGGTTTTTATTTTTTTTAATAATCACTTACGTGGTCTTCATTTTGCAACAAATAATCTAACGGCTGAGAACGACGTATGTCCCACGTGGAGCCTTTTAAAAGGACATAACGACGTCCTTTTCACAGAAGCGTCAGTTCCCTGCTAAGTGCTAAACTGCACCGCTAAGAGCTTCATCCTTGTTTTTTTTCCAAAAATAAAAAATAAAAAATCCAACTGTGCTTTTCCAAACTAGCCCTCCAGTGCTAACTTGCTTCCTTTTGAAATCCCCCACTTTACCGCTCCAAGGGGCGCTGATCCCATTTCCATCAAATATATATATATATATATATATATATATATATATATATATATATATATATATATATATGAGGCAGGATCCTTTGACACCGGTGTCAAAAAAAAAGTTTGACACCTCATCTGAGAGCCGTTAGATTAAAAAAAATCAACGATTCTGAATTGTAAGCATGTGACACCGTTGATTTTTTTTAATCTAACGGCTCTCAGATGAGGTGTCAAACTTTTTTTTTTGACACCGGTGTCAAAGGACTCCTGCCCTATATATATATATATATATATATATATATATATATATATATATATATTTTAAGACACTTTACCTTTTTTTCAAAATCACATCGTACCCACTTCTCTCACTTCAAAATCAAGATTTTCACTTTTGTTTAAAGAGCACAGTATTTTTCATTTTAAATGATATAAGTTATGTCATTTTAGGAGAGAGACATACACAAGAAATTAAAATCATGGGAGGAAGAAATTGTATGGTTTTTTTTAATTTAAAATTTAAATAAAGTCTGTCTCTCTCTTAAAAGGACAGAGTGTTATGTCATTTAAAATGACAAATATTTTTTCCTTGTTTAAAACGTAAAAATATATTTTAAATTTTTACAAATATACTTACTAGCAAAAAAATTTATCACCTTTATAACCAACTTAATATCCATCGACTTTCGTTAATTTAACGATTATAATTTATTGAAAATTAATAAAGAACTAATAAATACGATCCAATAAATTATAACCGTTGGATTGACGAAAATCAACGGAGATTAAGTTGGTTGTAAAGATGATAAACTTTTTTAGTGGTAAGTATGTTCTATCCCAAAAACTAATACACGCTTTTATTTTAGAAAAAAATATTTATCACTTTTAAAATAGAGATTATTCTACCTATCATTTTTTCTGCCTACTTTTTTCTATCACCCTCTAATATCGTTAGATCAAAATCTTAACTTACATTTATCTTTCTCTCTCTTCTTGAGATTCTGATCTAACGATGTTGGAGGGTGGTAGGCAAAAATAGGCAGAAAAAGTGATAGGTAGGATAACTTATCCCTTTAAAATATGGGTTCGTTTTTCTGCAGTTACTGCAGATAAGTTATCTGCAGTAAGCCTAATACGACGTCGTTTTGAGACGAAAATCATGGTGTTTTTGTAATTTTAATTTATTTCAGGGTTATAACAATCTTTATATTTATAATTTTTTAAGATTTCAATATCAAAACGACGTCGTTTTGGGAATAAAAGCAAATAACTTATCTGCATTAACCACCAGAAACATTTTTCTCTTAAAATATATAATTTATATCCCTTTAAATAAAACTATAGTTTTTTTTGATGTGTTTTAACTTTCTTCTCTTTTACCATACAATACTTTATTTTCTCTCTCCTAATTTTATGAAAAAAGAAGAAGATAAAAACTCCAAAAACACAATAATTTTACTTAAAAGGATAAATAATTTCTTTTTATTTTAATAATTGTTGATATAATTATTTTAATATTATTTTTTTATTATTGCGATATTACAAAAATAACATAAAATTATTATAAAATTAAAAATTAAAGTAAGAATAAATGTCATGTATAAAGTTAAAATGTATAAAATTATCTTATAAAAATAAAAACATATTTTAACCTTTAGTTATACTCCAGATGCCAACAAGCTTCGTAAACACGATGTTGACATCGAGCCAACTCCTAACTAAAACTGTGCAGGGGTATTTTCTAAAAAAAAAAACCTGTGCAGGGGTAGTTCAGTCAATAGAGATTGCCTGGGAGGAGGGGCGCGCCTTATGTCCAAAATGCCCCTAAGCGTATATTCCTCCTGGACAGCTATTTGGACGTAGTAGAAGATTCCCTTCAACAACGGCAGGGTCATTTTCGTCAAGAAAAGGTCACGCGCTACACCCCCACCCACTAACCGAAAAAGGGATTTTAGTTTTCAGATTTTCCGTATGGCCCATGCCACCATCGTGAGCCTAGTTTTCGAAAACGTCCGCATCACGAGGCTTCCGCTAAAGAACGAGGACAATTTCGGCAATTCACCACCCCAGCCCCATGGTGTAACGTGGCATCGTGAGCCGATATCACGAAGCAAAACCCTGTTCAAACCTCGACACGTAACGCACTCCCCTATGGCAGTTCTAGCAATCCGCCACGTAGGATTTACACGTGGCTGTTTCGTCCAATGTCATAACATTTTCGTCTTAGTTGCCTTTAAATAGTCCACGCTTTCTGATCATCTCCTTATCCTCTCCTCGCTACCTGCTGCAGCACCAAAGCCATAAACTCACGCAACCAAACAAGCTTCAATTATAACCTTGCCGGCGGCGTTTCACTAGTCGGAAAATTCAATTGTAGCGCCGGAAAAAATGGAGGCTCCGGCGATCGCATGTGATATTTGGATCGAATTAACTTTGTCGTGCGGTCGCTTGTTTGGGAACTCTAATCGTATCTGGTGGTAGAAACCCTAAGCCAGAGCGACTTTACTTAACAGAGTTTTCAAGTTATTCCATGCTATGAAGGATATTATGACTATATAATAATAGGAGAAAAAGAAAATCAAAAGTGTCTTACTCTAGTTTCAGCGTCTACAGTTTTGGCAGAGTATTATTCTTTTTTTCTTTTTTTTTTTTTTCTTTTTTTTAACTTTTGCTTTTCGTTTTGGGGGGTTCTTCGTCCTCAAATTTTGAAAACGAAGACGGAGAATCGAGAAAGGTAATTTTGCAGAACTTCAGAGGCTTAGCTAGTTTTACATAGTTCTGTCTTCTGACTCCAATTAAAAATTGAGCTCGAGATTCGAAAATGGAAGAGAGAGAAAATTGAGAGCGTGAGATTCTATTCTGAGCCATCATCGTTATCGTGATGCCTTTTCCGATGAAAATTCAGCCGATCGATTGTCAGATACCTCCGGAGGGGACTCGGCTTGAGCTGGTGAAGCCGGTTGTGAAGTCGCGATTCAAGCGGCTCTTCGAGCGCCAGTTCTCCGGCGTTCTGAGAAATTCGGCGGTGGACAAGATCGGCGTCGGCGGCGAGGAACAGCATTTATGCAAGGACGGCTTCAACGGTTCCAGTGAATTCGAACCGAGCTCGGCGTGTTTGACGAAAATGGTGCAGAATTTCATCGAGGAGAATCACGAGAAGCACTCCGCTTCCGTTAGATGTGGACGCAACCGCTGTAACTGCTTCAATAGGAACTGTGACGATAGCTCCGAGGACGAGTCAGACACGCACGGCGGTTTCGGCGACTCCAACTATTCTTCCGGTGAAGCTTCTGAAATCCTCAAGGTAAGTGCTAGTTTGAGCGGATTGTCTTTGAAAACGTCCGAAAATAATCAGAAGTGCGAAGAATGATTCTGAAACGCGATTTTTCGTTTGGCACAGGGTTTGGTGACTTGTGCGAGCGTTTCTGAGAGGAATTTGCTAGCGGACGCTGCAAAGATTGTTGATAAGAACAAGATCTGCAAGCGCAAAGATGATTTCAGCCGAAAGATCGTCACGGAGGGATTGATTGCTATCGGATACGATGCTTCCATTTGCAAATCTCGCTGGGAAAAATCCCCTTCCTACCCCGCCGGTACTTTATCTTTCTTGTTGTAATTTGGGGAAATAGAATTGGATTTTGGGATTTCATGATAATTTTTAAATCTTCATCTATTTAAGGTTTTCTTATATGTATGATTTCGTACAGGGGAATATGAATACATAGATGTGATGATTGGGAAAGAGCGGGTGCTAATTGACATTGACTTCAGGTCAGAATTCGAGATTGCTCGATCGACCAAAACGTACAAAACGATCCTCCAGAACCTTCCATGCATATTCGTTGGCAAGTGTGATCGGTTGCAGAGCATCGTGGCAATCGTGGCGGAGGCGGCGAAGCAGAGTCTGAAGAAGAAGGGCATGCACGTTCCGCCATGGAGGAGAGCCGAATACGTCAAAGCAAAGTGGCTCTCCCCTTACACGCGAACCACTACGCCCCCAACGCTTTTGTCTCACGCGATCCAAGAGGAGAAGGAAAACTCTGTCTCTGATTCGCTGTTTGCTTTGTCTGAGAGTTCCGCCGAAGACGAGAAGGCGGTGATCGAATGGAAGCCGCCGGAGCCGAAGCCGAAGGGTTCACTTTCTGGGGTTAAGATCGTGACTGGTTTGGCAGGGGTTTTTGACGATGATAACCCATAAAATTTTGATTTTTTTTTTCGGTTTTTTTTTTTCCTCTTTTAATTTTCTAATATGAGGATTCAAAATCTTAATATAACTGTAACACCTCTATCCCCTTCTGTTTTTTTTCTTATGTACGGGATGGATTTTACTAATATGAATAAAATAAGTTGAAATATAGTTTAGTTATATTGTTATTGCGGATTATTTTTATTATTTACTTCATTGTAATTATCTGTTTGTTCGATTAGTTCTGAGGCAAGTCTGTTTCAGTGCTTTTGAATCCTGGTTGTTATTTTTCCCTTCAAGAAAAAGAAACATTAGTTTGATTATGTTCTGATTTTTTTTTATTTTAAAAACAGTTTAAACATGTTCTTTAAATTAAAAAACAGTTCTAAAAGGGCCCTCCTAAGTTTCCCAAATCCTGTATGCAAAGCAATCTCAGATGATTCAACTATGTATATATCTGCAAAAAAATATAAAGTAATGTGCATAACTCACAAACAATTACTTATTTTATATCCTTTTTCTACAAAAAGAAAAGTTACTCTTGTCATAACTTGCTTTTGCTTATAACCATCAAATTATATTGTTAACAAAAATATGAAATGAAATCATTTTAACGTTAACAAAATTATGCACATTATTTTGTTCATATCAATTTTTTATAAAAGTTTAATAGAGAAATAAGGAGAGTTTATACCTACAATTCTTTTATTGTAATTAAATAAGTAATTAGTTTGTAACTTTTAATTTAAAAAAAAGGATAAACTTTGTTTTGAAAAAAAAATATGTATATGAAAAAAAATAAAGGTAGACAAGCATAATAAAATATGAAATATGTCTTCATTCCCTTGTTATAAAACAGAAGAAGCAAGAAAGAAAGAAAGAAATATGGACAGATAACAGTAATGGCATCAAACACCGTATTCGTTTTCTTGACGGGAATTATAACCATGCTCGTGCTGGTTGCACAGTAAATGGGGTGAGTCTCTTGAGCTGTTCCCACCGTTCACTTTCTGCACCTACACACTTGTGGATGTAAACCTTGTTTTGTCGTTTCCGCGCCACGTACCAAACAACAGGATCCACAAAAGTGTCTCCGGAATCGAATTGCACCCTGCTTTTAATTTATTGAGTTAATTTATTTAACTACAGTTCTGCACAGTTTCTGACAATTCGAAGAATAATCAACCTACTTATTTAATCAATTTCAGATCGAGCAGGTAAATTTATCACTTTTTCATTTAAAACTGTACATAAATTTTTTTTTATTCTTTTCAAAAAAATAGGTGTGCTTACTCTCTGACACACAAAGTTATATTGGCAGTTCGTACTATCCATCTCCCTCTGGCTCGGTATCATTTTGAGTTAACCTTCAATTGAAGTTTTAAAAGTACAACATTTCACCTAATAAGTAGTTTAGCTAGAGATAAAAAATTAAAGAGTAAATAAATTTTTTTTTTTTTTGTAATAAGTAAATAACTTTTTTAGTCTTTGATAATATGCACGAAGCTTTTTTTAATCTCTAGTAATATAAAAAAGACAAATTGATATCTGAAATAACAAAAAAGAGGCCACGTTCATCTTTCAGTTAACTCTCACCTAACGGCCCAACTAACGGTGCACAGTTGGCACGTTAGTTTGCTGACGCGGCTTGAATGTGGGACACCGCGGAACACGAGACGACGACGTTTTGATCCCTGTCAAAATCACGAGGGCCATTTTGGTCCCTGTCAAAATGCACGAGGACGTTTTTAGTCTCTGACAAAAAGCACGAGGCCCTTATTGGTCGCTAACCAGAGAAAAATACCATTGCTTTTCTATGCAATCCAATTTTGCAAAACAGAAGTGCATTACGTCAGAAACAGGAGTGCAATCCAATTTTTCATCACAAAGTAATTAAACTAAATTTTATCACAAAGTAAAATACTCCTTCTTGACATTTTATTTCAATGAAGTTTGTGTTTCTAACTGAAGTTTTGACCTTATTAACGATTATTCATTTCTTTTTCAATGATAATTAAGCTTCCCACTTTGTTAAAAAGGATTCTTGGCTCTTGCAAACAGCTTTTACGATCCCGAGAATACTATGAGCTGCTTTAATTCTCTTAGTCTGTATAAGACATAACGTTGTACGATTTACGAACAATATCTTCAGTAGTGTAGCATTACAATTATACTATTTATTTTTCTATAAAAGATAATTGCATGATTGTTGATATTTAAGTACAGAGAAAAATCAGAGAAGAAGCCAGGTAAATGATTGTTGATAATTGCAATGCATGGCAGTTGACTGGACTGCAGCAGTTGGTAGTTCTCAGCCACATGAAGGCAACTTGAGAGGAAGCAGCTCACCTCCATCAAATCCACAACAGGCAAATGAGCTGTTGAGTAATGAAACCATGAATGCAGCAACCAGTGGCACACGAAGCAGATTATTGGCCTTCATGAGCACACCTGGTTTTAGGCCACCAAGGCCTGCCTCAAGAAAATGACCTGCTGCTGTATATGACCTGGGAGTAGTGCATGAGCCAATTGAGAAGGGTTTATTATTATGTGACTGACTTTTTTTGAAAATTCTGGCCATTATGTATTTGGAGGCCTTATTATGTTAATGTTTTTTTTCTAAATTCTGGCCATATTGTATCAGAGGCATTTCTTTTAATTCCTGGCAATTGGCTTTATTTTGTAATGCACTACTGTACATCCATGTCTTCAAATATAATGATACTCAAATCTTGTTCCAGCTATTATGTTTCACAGGGTTGATGAATGTTTAAGTTTACCATTTTTGATGTTTTTTAACTAATATACGTAGTTGTAGTTCTTGTATATCCATGTCTTCTGATTTAACAAATTACACTGCATACAAATCCAATTTAATGTCATGTTCCTATTTTGCAAAATTGGATTGCACTCCTGTTTCTGATGTAATGTACTTATGTTTTGCAAAATTGGACTGCATAGAAAAACAACGAAGTCATGTGCCTATTTTTCTCTGGTTAGGGACCAATAAGGGCCTCGTGCTTTTTGTCAGGGACTAAAAACGTCCTCGTGCATTTTGACAGGGACCAAAATGGCCCTCGTGGTTTTGACAGGGACCAAAACATCGTCGTCTCGTCTTCCACAGTGTCCCACATCCAAGCCGCGTCAGCAAACTAACGTGCCAACTGTGCACCGTTAGTTGGGCTGTTAGGTGGGAGTTAACTGAAGGATGAACGTGACTTCTTTTTTGTTATTTTAGAGACCAATTTGTCCCTTTTTTATTGCTATGGACTGAAAAGGGCTTCGTGGATATTGCCAGGGACTAAAAATGATATTTACTCAAAATTAAAAAAGTATAAATGAGAATATATGTTTAATCTTTTTAGTATTAATTTTAGGAGAAGTTTAAAATTTTTATTCCGAAATCCATCTCGAATTGAAGTAGTCATAGAACCATGAAATGATATATATATATATATATATATATATATATATATATATATATATATATATATATAGGAAATTAATTTTCTCATTTTAAATGAGAAAATTTTCTCATGTTACACTCACAATATGAGTGAGGTTCACAAAAAGGTGAGAAGACAGAAAAATCAAGATGGGACCCACTCATATATTGTGAATGTAGCATGAGAAAATTTTTTCATGTAAAATGTGAAAACTATTTTTCATATATAAATAAATATATATATATATATATATATATATATATATATATATAGGGATAAATAAGAGTTATGTTGTAGGAAAAATAATTTAGTTATGTTAAGATAAGACAAAACAAAATCATTGAAGAAAGTGTCTTATCATGTTTTTTTATTATTATTAATTTTTGTCTTTTAGTATTACATGACATCATGTAACATGATAAAATAAAGACCCATATATATATATATATATAAGGGAATATATCTAGGATTTTATAAGAGTTATGTTGTAGGAAAAATGATTGTGTAATGTTATATAGATTTGTTTTGCGTGCCGTAATTTTTTTTTTTTTTGCTTCAAAAAGTGTAGAACCCACAAAATATTGTGTGTGTAGAAAACTTTTTTTGTGTCATGTTAAATGACGAATGCAAACTCCATCTATCTATTATGTGACAAGAATAAAAGTTGTTTTCCTGTGCAAACAGAAACATATGGGGCCCACAATTTTTTCTTTTTTCTTTTCTGAAATCACTTTTTCTCTCTTCTTTTATGTTTGTGCAGGATCGAATAGTATTTTTCATGTAACATTATATATCTACAACCCATATTCCAAAAAATTTCTGAAAGGGTAATAAGGACAATCACAGAGTTTGTTGAGGGTATTTTTCCCTGTATTATTTTAGGAATCACTAATTACTTCCCGAAAGTAACATCTCACCGACTCTTTTGAACCCATCTCACCGACTAGATAATAGAGATAATAGTTCGCTAAAATCTGATCTCTGTAAAGATAGTCAATCAATTTAATAATGTGTTTATATTTTCTATGAATTCATAATTATTAGTGATAGGAATAATTATCTTATAATATTATTTTAATAGTATAGATTTTATCAAATTCATATTAACAAAATTTATGATATGGTCTTAATTTCATTAATTATTTACTAGTAATTGTTGTTTAAATTTTGTTACGCTATCGTAAGTTTGCTCATGGCAAATGATTGATGGTTTCTATCAATTTTTTAATTTGGATTATCTGTCTGGTGCCACGCGGACGGCGTTATAGATCGTTGGATTAATTCTATTATATGATTTTATTAAGGAAACTGAGTTATCAAAATTATAAGACCATTAATTGGATACCATTACTTTTCCAAAACTTAATTAATCGTTTTTGGATGCATAACGAAAGAAGAGAAAACCCTCAATATTTTGAGCCTAATACATTAAAATATTAATTTTACAATGAATTTAATTAAATTTATTATTATGCTATATTTCGTATGTAGAGGCGGAGGGAAATGTCAAATGGGATTTATGGGACTTGTAGAGTTCCGATTTTTTACATTTTTACATTTTTGCACTCGTTTTTTTGGCTTTTTCATGTTTAATTAACTTGTCATCGTTATATTTCAATTTTCTCTATGTTTTATATGTAAATTTTTTTAAGAAAAATTAAGGACAAAACCATGCTTGTGTATTTAATAGTAAAATATCAAAATAGTATTGTTTATCATCAAGGAAATTGTTAA